GACAGCTTTATGTGTCACAATTGTCCTTTAGTTTGTTTGAGAGGTTTGTCCTGATGACGTCCCTTCCAGAGGGCTTTCATCTAATGAGGTACTGTGATGAGAGAATGAGATGACTCAAGGGGGTGATTGATGTCTTGAATAGGGAGCTGTATCTGCATGTGAGCATGTACAAAAATGAGTGACACGTACTCATCTGTGAGAATTAGAGCTACAGCGAGACTTTTGAGTTTAAGCCTGCTCCTCATAATGCATCCATTAATATGTGACTGTGAGCTTTTATTTGTGTACAAACAAGTTAGCATTCACTGTTTAAATGTGAGCACTTATGACAGCCAGCCTGGTGTGCGAGCGTGTGTGCATATGTGAGTATTCATGCCTCAGTGAGTGCGTAATGTATGCAGATTTCTGGCAGAGAGGAGCCCACCTACGTGTGTGTTCAAGCTTCTAATAATATACAAGGAAGGGTAAGCTGCTATGTTTGTATGTGCTTCTACGAGCAAGCAAGCCTTTTTTTTTTCTTAATATGTGTGTCTGCCTGTCAAGTTTGTCTCCTGAGGGGGGCTTCCAGGCAGTAGGCGGGAGGTGCGTTGGAGAGGGGGTCTAATCTCTCCTCCAAATCCCTGGAATCCCTGTCTTTCAGAGGCAGGAGGTCACATCGCTCACTGCTCTGCCAGGAGAGACAGAAACAGAGAAAGACAGATGGAGGAGGCGAGAGGGATGAAGAGAGAGGGAGGATGAAGAGGAGGAGAGCACTGGAAACACTTCCTTGGGCCTCTGGGACTAATTACACCAGTGAAGGGATGTCAGTTATACCGTGTTGCTTTAACGCACATGCACAAAAGCACACCCACAAGGTTTTCTATGCAAGCTCACAGGTCACACACAAACAAGCATGACCTGATGAACATCCACAAAACTTTATCTCGTAAATCACATGTCTGACACACGTCTGCACAAACACACACAGACATTGACAGAGTGTGCTATTGTGTAACGCCCTTAAGGTAAAAACTCATATCAAAAGTCTGCGGGAGAGCACTGGAGGAAATCAGATAATAGAATTTCCTGTGAACTTCCAAAAAGCACATCTCCCTCGGACTGACTTTGTTGCTATGGAGATAGTCCAGGAAGGGTCTTGGCTGCTGTTTATGTGTGCTGTACAGCATTTCGCGGGGTTGGATTCAGTCTTCTTTCTTTTTGAGACAGTGTTTTGGCATTTCTGCTTTACTGGCCTGTATATATGCTGTAGCAGTGAGTGATGGCGAGGAGAGAGGAAGAGCAGAGGAAACAGAGGGAGAGGATGTGACAAAGATTATAAAACAGACTCGGCAACGTGACGAGGAAAGAAAGGATGCTCTTCAGAGTGTACCCAAGCCTGTAATTGTGGTTATTATAAAGTTTCCCTTAAAGCTGCACCTGGTGACATTTTATCTGAAAATATACCTTACAACCTGAAACACTGCGTGAGAATGCAAACGATGAGTTTATCGACTCAGGAAATTCTGTGCATGGTCGTCGTTGAGAAGTCTTCACCGTGAACTGAAACTTAAGTGCAACATCCCAAACTTTACTTTGAACAGCTGAATTTCATGAGCGAGCACTGCGTCCAGAGAAAGTGTGACTCGTTAATGAAGGTTGAACCTAATGCAAGAAACATTTCCTCACCCCCACCCACATTTTCAACACTCACAAAGGAGAAGAAAGGCACAAGGTCTGCAGAGTTTAAAGGGTCGCAGTACATGATTAAATTCCACAAAGCTAATATTTGTCTACAACTGTTACATGAAGGCATGAATTTGCCCACAATGGGTTTAACACTAAAAGACATCAATGGAAAGCAGTTTTTAATCAAAACATCTCCGCTCTGAAAATTGCACTTTCTGCTTACCAGTGTTGCTTACAGCCTAGTCGCCAGAGGAAAGTCTACGTTTCTGCAAACAATGAATATGTTACATTTGCATGTTTCATATGTATCATATCAAATATTTTCTAAACTGATGTAATGTATGAGGTAACTTCATATGAAGTGGAGTGTATGGTGCGCGAAGCTGCAGACCACTGTTTAAGCCCAACAAATCCCGTTATGATTTAACGAGTCATTAGGCTCGTTCAAGGTGAGCCAGGCCTGAGCAGATTCGATTGCCACACAATGCATGCTGGATAATTTTGTGTCCAACTTCATCCCAACTTGCTCTGATGTCATACAAAAGTGGACAGCATATAATCTTGCGGTCACAGTTTTTAGAGCCAGGCGCTGCAGTTTCTCTCCACTGAGTGCAAGACCCAAGGCATGATGGGAAACGCCTCTCACCTGAATGAAGTGCTGATTGGTTTAGATGTGGACTCAACAATATGACGTTTGGATAAACCTTTCATTTTTCTTTAATTTCAGAGAATTCGATTTTATTAGTCTGATTTGACGGTTTATTCTGTTAACATAAAACATGTTGCATTCATCATAAACTATACAGAGTCTACTGTATATAAACATTGGACTGTTTTAATTATTGAAGTACTTAGCAACACAGAGACTTGTGGCCAGTGGGATGAGAGGATTCTTAAAATAACATCTGCACAGATGTGAAGCCCTGACTATGTCTGACTGATCTTTAATGAAAGCTGTTGTCTTGTATATCTTTATTCTAAAAACATGAACCTCAGAGTCAGACACAATTTATTTAGCCTGTGTAGTTGAGGGGACAGGTCTGCTCTACAGCAGCAAACTGATGTGATGCTGATGTTCATGACCAATCATGTAAAATGGAGGTTGAACCATGAACATAAATTACCAATTTCCTGTAAAGCATTTTTATAAATCAGTCTATCATAATTAAAACAACTGAAGACTAAGAACAAACTCATTAATAAATAGCATCATATCAGACAGGATGTGAGTGTTTCTGTGACTTCCTGTACACACTGAAGGGTGGCAACTTTTTGTCACCACCTCCTGCTGCAGCAGCCTGATATCGTCAACTCTCCAGGCGAGGCGCAGTTCATCTCGAACGAGCCTATTGCTGTTTTCTTAAACACACAAAGTGGTTGCTTTTTTAACAAGACATCACTGCTTTTCTTGCCTGGATAGTGGCACAAAAAGCGATAGTATTTATTGAGACATTTCTGCTTTTCCAGCTTTGATTGTGTCCCCTAAACTGGGTATTTTCATCCAAAACATGATGTTTTTTCCCAACAAAAACCAAGTGGGTTATGTGCTTAAACACAACCTCACATTTACCACAGCATTACTGAAACCTAAAATTTCAATGTATCCACTGGCTATTATAACGTGCAACTGTAACGTATCCGTGGTTTGCAGAAACGTACAATACCAATGTTTTTCCTGGAGAGTGGGTTGGTTGCTTCAATAAAATTGTCACATACAAAAATTGCACTGAAAGCAAAGACATCCACAATGTGTCAACCGTTGTCATACATAGCCTGAAAGGTGACCATTTAAGGTATGTTTTAGTGACAACTTTACAGAGTTCTTTGGCCTTATGTGCACAGACTAGACAATAAAAGGAAGCATTTCAGTGACAGCCTGAAGCAATGCAGAGAAAGTGGTGGATATGGAGTAAGTGGGGTCTGATAAACATCTGGACATATGTTGGAGCACAGTGTTTATAGTGCTGCTTTAGAGGGCAGCACTCAGGATGTCTGTGACACGCCAAGGTCAACACACACAGGTGCATGACTCAGCTGAACACACACACTTACAGGGAGAAAAAATTCTCAGTCACAGAGGCGTTCTGTGGCTTTTAGGACCCTCTTGAGTCAAAGGCACTCGAAAACATACTGTATGATGAGTGTGCTGTAACCTCATGTGATGCTTTTACAGTAGAGTGGTCCTCCCAGCTGCTCAAATGTTTGTTTCAAGAGCATTTGTTCTGAATGTGTACATTTGTGTGTGTGTGTGTGTGTGTGTGTGTGTGTGTGTGTGTGTGTGTGTGCATACCCTCGTTGGAGTGCAGAGCAACACCACAGCCACATGTTTGGTTTTGCTCCAGCGGCTGTCATCGACTATTGTTGGGGACAAACACTGAATATTTAGACCCATTAAATATCATCAGTCTGCATCTATCAGCACAAACACACAGAGTGATTCAGTGATTAAACAGCCAGTTTAGAGCATACTCTCTTTAATTCAAGGATCAAAAATATGACAATATACAGTACAAGATTTTGCTTTAATCAATAGTTCTTGCGTACAAGTGAAAAATACAGTATTTGGGGTAATTTTTGTTTTTGAGGCGGTGAAAATCATATAACCTTTTTTGGGAGTCTTGTCATTATGAGTCTGAATCTGCACACAAACAATAGTTAGCTGCTCTTTCACTCTCTGACACATACAGTACAAATAAATAAAGACACAGGTCACACCACTTATTTAAAGAATAACTGGACTCTAAACATTTGTGTATCTGAAACATAATTTGGTCACTATAGGTTGAAAAGTTCATATCTCTGAAAACCTTTTCAATTATGTCTAATGCCTTCTGATAAAAAAATATCACTCAACTGTAATGGTGCTAAGACGTGTGCTGTGAGTTACTGCACCTACTAGTGAGCTCAGGCTTTTAACCTCTGAAGCTGTAAAAACTACCTGTAAATATAGATACATGTGTCATGGCAATAACTCTCATAGTCCTGCAAGATTACATTTTACTGTAATGGTTAATGATGTTATGATAAACAAGGTCTGATTTGTTTTTCCCACGAAAACAAGTGATGTATAATGATAGCCCTCTAAATGTGTTAATATGTGCAGTATGCACCGTGCTGATCTGTACCTATGAACACATTCTCACTCCGACCTCTTCACATATCAACGCTAGCATCCACACAATAATAGGCTAATAAAATTGAGGCATCTAAGCTTGATAATATTTCATTTTTGATGAATAGATAGAAAAATTTTATTTAAAAGGGATGGAAGGGGATTGTTTGGTTTGTTTCAATCACACAATCAAAACATAAGAATAAATGTTGGCATTGTACATTTCTGCAAACCATGGATATGTTACATTTGTACATTTCATATGTAGCGGATATGTTGAAAAAGTTTGTTTTCTCAAGTCTCAAATTTAAATGTTATGTTGTAACACTGTGGTTATCTTGTGGTTAGGAGACACAACTTGGTTAGGGTTAGGAAAATATGTTTTGGCTTGAAATACCCGGTTTGGTTACCACTAACATGGCTGGATATGTCCCAAACTGTTTTTTTTTGTTGCTTCAAACATATCTGGAAATGTCCTAATTGATCATTAAAAAACACTCACTTTTGTTGCTACAAACATGGGTGGACATGTCCCAAACTGCAGTTACAACACACCCGCATTTGTCATGACAAATATGGCTGGAAATGTCTCAAATTCACATTGTACACACCCACTTTTGTGGCAACAAACACAGGTGGAAGTTTCCTAAACTGTTGTCAAAAACACCTGCTTTTGTCTTTACAAACACTTCTGGAAGTGTTCTGAACTGTTGTTAAAAAAACTGCTGCTTTTGTTGCTACAAACACAGCTGGACATGTCCCAAACTGCAGTTAAAACAAGCCCGCTTTTATTGCGACAACTACAGCTGGAAATGTTGGGTGGACATCTCCCAAACTGTCATTAAAAAATGCTCACTTTTATCGCCACATGCATGTCTGGACATGTCCCAGACTATAGTTAAAAAAGGCCCACTTTTGCCACTACAAACATGGCTGGACATGTCCCAAACTGTCGTCAAAAAAACATTTCTAGCGCTACAAACACGGCTGGAAATGTCCCAAATAGTCTTTAAAAACACCTGCTTTTGCTGCTACAAACACGGCTTGACATGTCTCAAACTGTCATTAAAAATGTCCGCTTTTGTTGCTACAAACACAGCTGGAAATGTCTCACATTGTTAACGTCTGCTTCTGTTGCTACAAACACGGCTGGACATGTCCTGAAGTGTCATTAAAAACACCCACTTTTGTCGCCACAGACACAGCTTTGTCACTACAAATACGACTGGACATGTCCCAAACTGTTGATAAAAATGCCCTCTGTTGTTGCTACAAACACAGCTGGAAATGTCTCAAATTGTTGTTAATGTCTGCTTCTGTCACTACAAACATGGCTGGACATGTCCTGAACTGTTCTTAAAAAACGCCCGCTTTTGTCGCTACAAACACAGCTGGAAATGTCTCGCATTGTTAACAACGCCTGCTTTTGGCACTACAAACACAGCTGGACGTATCCTGAATTGTTGTTAATAACACCCACTTTTGTTGCAACAAACTCGGCTGGACATGTCCCAAACTGTTGTTAAAAAAACGTATAAATGTTACATAGCCAGTTTGCAGAATGGTACAATGTGAAAAATTTTATTCTGGTGCCTGGGCTGTACTATTTCAGTTAAACCAACTGTTCAACTATTAACCGCTTATTCCCATGTCAGTTGAATCACTGGTGAAATCTAACACAGCCGGTTAGCTAGTGCAGTGGTGCGTCAAATAAGTCTCCAAAAGAAAAACAAGACCATAAAATTACTTCACACAGCTTCTGCAGCACAATCCCAGTGTTTTACAGCCAAATGATTGCACTGTTGTTCCAGAAGTCTTAAATCCCATAACTCTATATCTCCCACATTTTCTCATTTCACAAACGTCTGGTTGCCCTAAAGCGATCAGACGAAGTTTTTCTATCTGCCTGTGCTCTTCATAAGCACTGACCTCCTGCTTTTTACAGCTGTAAACACAACTGCCGGAGGTCATGTCGCTTTTTGGTTACTATTTTAAAAAACAGAGACACTTTGTGCTGCGAAGGCACAATAAAAAGGAGAACATCCACAACAGTTTTCTAGGTCATATTAAACATTTTTATTGGCTTGAAGTTATTCAAATACGCGTGTGACCTTGGCTTTAAACAAAATGGGAGAGGTATCATGTGAAATGTTTTTGTTTCTCTATATTCTGTCTGCATTTGCTATTCATAGGTTACCCATGCTTCCTGGTAGCATGTGCTTACTTAGTATATTGTGTTTTAAATAATTCTGAGTGAAAAAGACATGCTGTCTGAGGAAACGTTATCACCTCTTTTTCCTTTTTTTTTATTCTACCAAGTCACTTTCTACTAACATAACATTTCTCTGAGACAGTTCACATGGAGCTGCAGTAATAAATATCTATACAACACGTGTGTTATGTGGACATACAAAGGTCTCTGACCGACATAGAACAAATAATGTTACATTTTCGGAGGGAGCTATGAGTGCATAAATCCTACATTGTTTCACCGCTTTTTCCTGAGTCATCTGACTCCTGATCATTAGTTGTGCGTTGTGGATGGAAATGCATTAATTAGATAGCCTGGTGTATAAAGGTGTATAAAGGGGTGTACACCATCTCGACAGGCGACACTATGCTCGTCCTGACAAAGTGAAGACATAGAAGCAAAGCCTGCCTTTCTGGTGTAACATAACAGTGGCAGTTCTTTTCAGATATCCTTCTTTCTTGTCCCCCCCTTCACCCTCCAGCACTCTTTCTCTGTGTCATCCCTTCTCTGGGCTTCCCTCTTTCTCTCTCCTCCGAGTTGGTGATGCACTGATAGCTCTTGGCAGCGGATGTGGGGGCCCTCATCATTGCACTGCCTCGGTCTTCTGCCCTGTGGTGCCTCTTTGTATCTCATGGCGCTTGTGCTCTCCTCCTCATTCGTCTCCCTCTTTTTCTCACCCAACCTGCAAGACTCTGTCTTCCTCTCTCACTCCCGCAAGACATCGCCTTTAATTAGAATTCAACTGTCAAGACAAACCCCCTCTGACTGAGTTTACTTCACCTCTAACCCTTTGATCCTGCAGTCATAGCTATCTTCCTTTCACATTCCTCCCTAATTGGTCATTGCATATACAAAACACTTGCCTTTTGCTTTAAGTTAGCAACTCTGTGCCCAGTTTGTTTCTCTCAAGCTTTTCTTCCCCTTTCTTCCCTTTTTATCCCGTAAACATCCTCCTTCCCCTCCTTTTTTTCTCCCTCTTCCCCTATCAAGGTCTTAAAAATACCCTGCCCTCTGCCCCCACCTCCTGACTTCACCCCCCTTTCACATCTTCCTCCCTCCCTCCTTCTCCCTCTCTCTCCTTCTTGTGAGTCCTGTCAGTGTCTCATGGTGTTCTTGCCAAACTTGTCGCCAAGTTGTTGGATGAGCAGAGCCAGTTCTCCAGCGGCCTGGGACTTCTCTTCTAGGAGCTCATAGCGGAGACTGGAAATGTCTTGCTTTATCTCCTTCAGCTCGCCTGCAACACAATCACACATGGACGCAACAATCAGGATGCGTGAACCTGAGCAAATGCAGACTAGTATGCAGGTAAGAACTCATCTACAAGGCCAAGAGACTGTGCTATGGTTGACACGTGTGAGTATATGTAGCCATGCAATACAGTGATATACAGTGTGACCTCATTTCATGGACTTTAGCTCACACACACAGTCACTCCTACTTATTGTCCCTCAGTAAAGTCTGAGACACACAAAACTGACATCAGAGAACTAGTGGTGATGAAGGCCGACTTTTGTGTTGCCTCTCGTCGCCTGTGTCACGGCCAAAAAGTTGCACTTAAACTCACCGCAAAGACTACAGCTAACAGCCAACTAGCGCGCGTGTTCTACACTTGTGTGAGAGGAAATAACTCTCCATACCAGCAGGTGGCGGTAGTATGGATTCGTCATTCAAAAAGGGAAACCAGAGGACCGACAGGACAGATTCCAGATGCTAGTTAGCTAGTCGGCACATTAACAACACAACCAGATGTTAAAAGAACAATTTTACTGTGTATTGTGTGTGCTTAGTGCCGGGTTCACACCACACGATAGCCTGATTTTTAGCCTGACACAGCATCGTACAGTGTCGGCTTGGATTGTGAACGACAATGAGTGTCATACGCGATAATCCAGTTTTATATCGTGTAGTGTGTCATAGCAGACGACAACCGGCGCCACGTCTGGGATGCCTCGTGACTCCCTGACAGAAAGTCTAGCATGTTTGATTTTCTTTTTGTCATTTGCCTTGATAAAGTTATTGCATTGCGCTGTCATTTCAGTCTAAACACTTCCTGTACCCATTTAAAATTAAAAGCCCATTATATTTTCGGTTGAAAGAATTCCTTCATTTTCTAAAAAGGCTTTTATTGTGAAACATCCCAAGGATTTGGTGACTTTCCTAGTTTGCATGCGGTACTACAAATGTAGCTTCTGCCATCTGGTGGTGCTTTTTACATTACAACAATAACATTTTGGCTGGCACATGAACAGACACAGTGACTGAAATAATAGCGATAATAATAAAAATAGGACAAGATGACATCACACACGTCGTGAAAGACAGCCAGCGATAATTGGAGGTGGACCAGCGTGTAGTCTGTCATGTCTGTTGGCCAAGTCACGGCAAGATTTTACGACTCCATGATCGCCTAATCTGACATAATGACTGTCGGAATGGACAAAAATGTTGTGTAGTGTGAACCAGGCATAAGAGCTCAGTGGCTAAAAACATAATCTTATCTTATATAACAAGTTTGTTTTGATTTCATGCCCTCTTGACAAGTCATTTGTTTACTTTCCTCACTTCTGTTTCTCTGCTTGTGCCAATTAAGAGTGATTTAATTTACAGACAGGCTCTGTTGTCTCTGATGCTGATTCAACATGCTGAATTGGCCAAAAAAAAAACGCTGACCACTGACAACACGGCAGGAGACACTGCAAAACACTAGGGCGACAGATTCTTACTGACGGCCCAAACCTAACCAACAGCTAACTGTCAGCTTGGTGTGTCACGGTCCTAACAGTCCATACACTCATGCACACACATGCCCTGAGACAAGAGTTACGAAACGAGAGTGGGCCTTAATGAAGAAAGGAGTTTTACCTTCATTGACTTCATCGCTCTCTCTGTCCACTTGAGCCTTCAGCACATACCGCTTGATGAGGCGCTTCATGATTTTCTATACAGAGGAGGAGAAAGGAGAAGATTATAGAGAGAGGGTGATGAGGTGATGTGACCGTGCGCGGCGTATTTATCCTCATTCGTGCATACGCGCCTACATACACACACATACACACACAATCCTGCAGACAGTGGTGGAGAAAAGCACTGTGTCTCGGAGACTGTGTGTGAAATGTATGAGTATTGATCTGAAGCCAGTAGGGATGTCCTGCAGCTGCTGCCAAGGCTCAAGCAGTCAATCTCTGCATGTAGGCACTCTGAATATGAGTCTATACCTGTCATCACACATAATACACACATACAAAAAAAGTCGCAATGCTTGGTGTGTGCGTGATTTTTTGGTGCCGGAAAAAAAACAGAAAAAAACAACAACTATACCAAAAAAACAAAACCCCAACACAAACTGGGAGAGCTGAGAGAGAAAGCGCAGTGGACCAGTGAAGGAAGTTAGATTCCCCTCAGGGAAAAGGTGAAGGGCAGACTCAGGAGGAGAGCATCTCTTCTCTCCTCAGCGTGATACTTTGAGCTCATTTACTGAGTGCCTGCTTTCGATCTCCCTCAAACAGCTCATTAGAGCCGTTCTCAGCCTTGCTCTGTTACTCTTTCTCTTTTTGCCATCCTTCCTCTCCCTCTTTCACTCGCAGTCACTTCTTCAGTCCTGCCTTCCTTTCAGTCGATGTCCTTTCATCCCAACTCTTGAAAAATTCTTTCCTCTCTGTTGTTTCTGCCTCATCTTCCTCCCTCCTTCGCTCTTCCTTACCTCTGTCTTTCATATCAGTCTCTCTTCATCTCTTAAACCCCTCTGATTTTCTCCCTCTATCTCTCTTCCTATCATCCCTTATCATCCTTTTGCCTGCTACTCTCTGCTTCTATATGTTTATTTTGTTCCATATTCCTGAATGTTTCTCTCTCATTTTATTTATTCTTTTCCCTTTTATTTCTTTTTCCTTTTCCGTCGTTCTTTCCTAAGGTTCTCTGGCTCTGCTTTGTCTCATCTTTGCTCCACCCACTCTTCTCCTTCCATCTTACCTGGTATCTGGTCGGGTGTTTCCTAGACTTTTTGGGGATGAACTCCTCTCCTGGGCGTGTATAAGTCCTGTGGCGTTCATCCTGTTGTAACAGTGAGATACAGACGGCAGTTCAGTGTTAACGCCACATTTCATGGGTGAGTGATTTTTTATAATGGGAGCGTTTGGAAAGGGTGTTAGAGGAGGCAACACACTGCCAAAACAAAACAACACTGAGAGGCAGGGCTTTGTATCTAGTGCTCACAGATGTCTTCAAAGAGAGGGCCAAGAGACTCCATGGCATCACTTGACCGGAGTGAATCTCTATTAACTCATTTCTAGATGCCTTCCACGTCCATGACCTTGCTTTGTAGCTTGTGTGCTATTTCAGCACTGCTGTGTCAAAGTGAGTTTTAACTTGAGTGTGGACACACGCAACTAGCTGCTATTGTATATGCACTAAAGCTGCAGGGGCATGGAGATACCTTAATATAACAGGGGGATGGTATAAAAGTTTAAAGACAGTTCACCCCACAATCAAACCGCCTATTTTTCTTTATACCTGTAGTGCTATTTATCAGTCTAGATTGTTTTGGTGTGAGTTGCAGTGTTGAGAGATATTGACTGTAGAGATGTCTGCCGTCTCTCTACTATAATTGAATAGATGCCACTCAGCTAGTGGGAGTAAAAGCACCAAAAAATAAATTTGAAAAACTCAAGAATGCAATGCAGCAATGTCTCTTTTCAGAAATCATGACCCACTTACTCAAGATAATCCACAGACCTTGTTGTGAGCAGCTTCATATAGGAACTATTTTCTTTCTACCGATCTACCCTCGCCAGCCGTATCACCGTTTAGGAGGAAATGTGCATCTACTCATGGACGAGATGCTTGTGCTTGTGACCGTGCGTTATGTAAACATCAACAGTGTCCTCCTCTGCTGAGCTGTAATGTTAGCTAGTGAAGTGGTGCTTGGTTAGCTAACAGTAGATGAATGCTTCCTTCTGCGCAGTGATACAGTTGGTGGGTGTATCTTGGTAGCAAGAAAATAGCTGTTGAGTTTTAAAGTGCATGGATGTATAAAGAGATCTGGATCTAGCTTTGGAGGTGGGCCCCATTCATCCCTATGAAAGCTGCTCAGTGGTACATGAAACCAAAACGGTTCAACCGCAGTTGTATAAAATTGATGATCAGCACTGCTTCCAGACTGTATGACACACAGGGCAGGCGCACTAGAGACTTCTGCCAGCCGAGCCAGCTACTTTCAGTTTAGCGCTCCGTTAATGGCTTCGCTACATTGCCAAAATCTTATTGGACCAAATGTATCAAAGTCTGATCAGAAAATGGGTCATTTCATGAGGGATATGATGCTAAAAATGTATCCACTGATTTACAGACATCTCTTTCCCAGTGTAAATCAATGGAAAATAGTCTACAAGCTACTACTAAAATTGTCTTCAAAGCCTGGCACACTTCCTGGGGCATTGGCTGAGTGCCATCTACTTCCATTATATTGGAGAGAAGGCAGACATCTCAACAGCTGATATCTTCAACACCCAGCAACTCACACCAAAACAGTCTACACTGATAAAGAGCACTACAGGTAAGAGGAAAAATATGTATGTTTGATTTGGGGGTAAACTGTCCCTGTATAAAGAATATTACACATGGGAATATTTGTTTTTTTCTGTAGAATAACTGACAAACCTTTAAGCTAAAGCCAAATCACATTAGCTTTCAATGTTAAAGCCTTTTCAAGTTCTCTCTGAAAGCAAGTAGAGTTTTTAAAATTGTGAAAATACAAGATACTGTATATATGTGGAAAAAAATAGTTAATGTGTCTGTACTAAATTAAAAACATTCATTCTAAAATGCTGTACATTAAAACAGAAAAAATACTCAAGTTCATGATACGACATCTCTACAAACCCATATTATGTACTACCAGCGAATCAATTGGAATAGGTGTCATTTACGAACTACAGTCACCCAAAGAAGACACCATTCAGAGCTACATTCATTTGTGCTCTCATTGATTTTCTATATATATATTTCATTTTGCAGGGAAACTCATCCTGTGCTCTCTGAAAGAACAAAATGCTTCCTTTTATTATGACTCTGTAAAACAGAGAACACCTTCTGAATTATTGCAATAAAGAGGCAAATTAACGTTTTTATCTCCTCACTGCTTTATTGAACCGCACAACCAGATGGCAAGTACTGCTTCAGCTTCATGTGGATGTGATCTTTTGTGCAGAGGTTTACCAAAGCCAGACTGACTTTGTTGCATACTCTGTGATCTAGTCTGAAATGAATACATGTGACGGAGTAAATATATAAGACATATATGACATATTCACACAGTACAAATTCTTACTGAACTACAGCTTACTTTTTTTTTCATCAAACCCATATACAAATGTTCTTTAAATTATACATAACCAGAGGCTCAGTCAGTTTCTCTTTCCATTTCACAAACTGCAACTTTGTTTTCTTTCTGAGCATATGCTGCTTTGAAACCAACACAATTAGCTTCAATTAAGCGCCTCACTTTTCTCAAACGGTCGATATCCCACATAAGACACGAGGACCAAAAGACAGAGAGGAAAAAATTACTGATTCAGAAAGACCACGCTGTCTTCTCCGTATCTCACTTGACATTCTCGACACCGCACCGTGGTCGAGTGTGAGCTTTTGCATCGATCTCTCGCCGCACCTGCTTGGCTCTGCAGTTTAAACTGTCAGAGCTGCAGAGAAGTTCAGGAGCTCACGGAGGCAGCAGGGTGTAACCCATCTTGTCCCCATCTGAAACCTGCACAGGCATTTGAGCAGATGCGGGAAGATCCAATGGCCTGACTAATAGCCTTGCCGAGGCACTGAGGTGAGCCATTTGAGCTGAGGAATCAGATGGAGGAAATGCCTGCGGACAACACCAGCGCTAAGACTGATTCTCTGTTAAACAGCCTATGCTATTTCCCTCATGTGAGACTTTCTTTTCATTACGGTGATTTTATTTAGATGGACAATCCTTGAGGGGGAGAAAGTGAGCAAAGCTAAAGTTGCATCCCAGGTGTGCAGTGGGATTTTCATGTATTTCCTGGGTCTTAATGATGGAGCCATCTGAGGACTATGTTTGTGCTATACATGCTGAAGAGCCAGTAATTGACAGTCATGCTACAAACAGTTGATCTGTAAACTGTAAACAGGCAATTAGTGAGCTTGTCTTTTGCCCTTTTTTCCAATTTAGACAGTTCTTTAACTGAAGCCATATGAGGACTCTGCAAAAGAGGAACGTCTGGATGGACAGTAATCAGTATGGTAAACAGTTTGTCAGCTAATGCAGCACAATGTCCTTTAAATAAAAGAAAACAATGCACAAAAGCAAAGAGAAAAAATGGAACTGATCTAAATTGCTGATTATAACTTGCTTTTTCTTTGTAAATGTCAATTCATAATACCATTTTCCTGTTAACAGTAATAATTTGCTGAATGGAAGGCAAGAAAAACAAATTGCATGCTGTTCATAATTAGCTTGTAATTACTGGCTCGCATCACAGTTCCTAGAAAATGTAGGAATAGTTCAATCAAAGCATTTAGAAGAGATAATAATACTGATATGAAGAGAAAGAGTCTGTTATTTAGTCGCTACTGAAACTTGGTTAATCATCTTCACAATGTCAAAAACAATATCAGCTCATTAGTTGTTCCCTGTCACATACTATAACATATCCAAAATAGCAAAATATTATTTTGTTTATGTCTGCAATTCATCACTGGATAAGGAATGAGATGATTCCCGACACTGACCTTGGCCTGTGAGTTGAGCATGCCCAGCTCCAGCTCGTTGTTATGGCGACGGCTGTTGGCCTTGCAGAGGCGTATCAGGCAGGACTTAATGCGGAGGACAAGGTAGTAGAAGGACTTTGGGCTGGGAACCAGGTTGAAGGGGGCGGGCAGGGTGCGGCCCTCGTCAAAGTAGGAGAGCCACAGCTTGGCTCGGGCAAACTTCCACTCGACGTCGGCATCCTCCTGCAGAGACAAACGGACAGACGGAGGCAGAGAGTATTTGAAACAAGAAGGGTTGGTGACCAGTGAAGACTTAAACGTCTTTCACACATGCAGTCTTTCCCTAAAATGTTTGGGTCATGTGTTAATGGGAGCAGGGGTCAATGTTCAGCAAGATCTGTACTGCAAATTTCCCAAGCTTCCCAAGTCAGGGCATTGTCAGGAGTTTCCCTTTCACATATCTAGCACACAACAGGAGAATGTCTGTGTCAGATGCATTCTCATCTACTGGAAACATTCTGGTTTAGATGAGGGGTGGCGTCTGCGTAAAGCGTACAGGAGGCAGGATATGATGCAGATTACATCATCTTCATGTAGCTGGTTCGTTATTTGCTAATAAACAACAAAGTCTCCTGCTGTTCCTTTAATTTGTCTGACTATTTTGGCTTCCGCCCTTACCGACAAAATATCGAATCTCCTCATCTCTCTAGACATTTTTGTTGCTGTCTTTGTGTCAATGACCCTTCTTCTTCACCCTCGGATGTTTGTTTTCTTCCGGTTTCGCATAAGCCTCATGGAAGCATCATCAGCAATGACACTCGCTTGCTGGGAATTCTCTGGACTATTAATTGCTCTATTTCACACATGGGCTCAATCGGAGATTACACGGACTTGATACTAGGGAGCTGGCAGCAAAAGTCTGTTTAATGTCTGATACAATCAGCTCCTCCAGGTAATGTCTAGATAATTTCATGTTTGCAGTGCATGTGTAAGAGGGGCTCTAGTACTTTACCAAGGAAAATGTCAGCACGACTGTGCTGAGAATAAAAGCAGTAACATTGGAGGAACAAGCACATAAAGGGTGAGCGAACCAATAACAAGACCTTGCTGATTATGGATTTGAATCTGTGACCTCTTTACAGTTTAGCATTTACTCTAGTGCTTTTGCAGTTGATTTGATAATGAACAAGCAACACATGTTCTTCTGTGTGTTTTGGCACTGGACAAAAACATCTACTCACTGGTCATGTTCCTGAAATAATAACAGACGCCTTGCACCGCACACACATACATCCAGCCTTGCCCCAAGGCTACTAAATTAAGGCTAAGACAGAGGCTTTGACCCAATGGGAGCTATGGGGTGTGACACATACAAAGTGTAACCGGAGCTGTGATGTTGGAGATTTTACAGCAGACTATGCTAGCAATAAAGTGATGCTGTCTGATCAGGAGCTCTTTGGATGCACTTTTTTTTTTTTGCCTCCTTGGGTGCGTTCCTCACAGAACTTTTTGGGCAGTGGCCATACAATATAACATTTTCTGTCAGCAACACTCTCATCATAGATTTACCCATTTATTTCAACAAACTGAAAAACAGTTATGCCTGGCACTGAGGGCTTCAAACAGAGTGCTATGCCAAAACAGGGAGAGCAATACAGGAAACCCCCCAGGTATACAAGTGTGGGCCAAAGCAAGACATAAAATACCATTTAACCTTAGAGCCATGGTAGGACTCTGAATTAGAAAGGTGGAGACTGGGTTGGTGAAAGGAAAAGCTTTGCCAGCAGCAGCAGCAGCAGCAGCAGTGGTATGTGGCAGCATTAGTGTAGCAGGGATCAGTGAGTAGGAAGCCATATTTAAATGGACCACCTTGCATGGGAGTGAGCTGTGATTGGTGTGAGACTGATAAGAAACAGTGATCCAATCAGCTGGCTGTTAGCTGAGCTGGGGCATATGACCTCCATTGTCCTGCATGAACCAACTCAAAGCTTCATTTATTTATGTTTTCAATAATTGCAGAATCCTCATCCATACCTTTACTTTTTGCATAAAATATATTCTGACTCAAGGCCATCTGCGGATGTCTCAGTGAAATTAAGCAATTGACCTATGGCTAAGCCCCGCCCTCAAACGCGATGAGCCAATCACAGTGTGTATAGCCATTCCCTATACTTGGACATTCCCTGCCTGGACATCCATTGAAATGCATTACAGAAAGTCAGTTTTGTTCGGTGTTATAAGCTTTTTCAGAGATTTGAAGTTTAAAAATGGTCAAACGCTGTGCATGGGATACATGCAACTCCGACACAAGATATCTTGAGAGGCTGGGCGACGAGGTGTATTTTTTACACTTTAAACCACATCTCAACCGAGAAAAGTGTCTCCTTTGGATAAAGTTGTGTGGTAACGTTAGACCACAACATCAACTCAACGTGAATAAGATTAACAAGGATGTCTTTATCTGTTTTAAGGTACGTCAACATTGTGTTTGAGGCGGGAACTGCCCATTGGTCCAACATCCCATTGTTTCGACCATATTAAACCCATTGTTCCGAAGTCCGTTCCGAAATCATCATGATGCCCTGTGGTTAAGGTCTGGTTAGGTTTAGGCACAAAAACCACTTGGTTAGGGTCAGGAAAAGATCATGGTGTGGGTTAAAATGAAAAAGAAAGTGGCAAACACATAAGCTGTGAGCCTGCTTCACCTCAAGTCTTTCCCAGCTGACCCAGAGCCGGTTGCGGCGCACCATCAAGGTAGAAATATGCCCGCCGGGAGCTGTTCAGCACCGCGGACCGCTGGACTAATGGGATGTCGGACCAATGGGCTGTCGGACCAGTGACATGGACCCTTTGAGGCAACATATTGTCACTTTGCTGGAAAGAAATATAAAGTTATCTTTAACATCTCTAGCTAACATTAGCTAAAGTTAGCCTAACGTTAGCTCCTGCGTTGTTCATCATGTCAGCTTGTTTGCTGGGAGTTCATTAGCCTATTTTGTTCTAGTTTTTGTACTTTGGTGATCGTACATCATTGTTAGCTGTTGTTCAGAGGGCTCTAGTTAAGCTAACGTTTACTGCTGGAGCTTAGCTTCATTAATTTATCTGTAATCGCAGAGATAACAAAGGTTGGTAAACTTTATGCTGAATGATTCAGTGTAAATACTGTAGCACCAAACTAACAGAGAGACACTCTTGGTAAAGATGGTAAAAAGGCCGTTATCCTTTTCTCATATTCTGAGCCAAAAACCTTAACTTCAGTGGCACTTTAACTTGTTGTCTTTGATGGCGACGGCAACGAGATGTGGTTCACAAGCGTACACTGTGACCTGTAAATTTTGGCTTGTAATTTAAGCTTTTCATCGACCTTCTCAACAATAAAATGATGAATATATCCCTCCAATGTGTAGTTTAGGTCCTTTTGGTTACTTCTCAATGACATCTGATCTTTATGTCCCCAAAAATCATCAGTTGCCTCCTGCGAAATGCCGTGTACTGTGACAGCTGCCATAGCGCTGGTCACTGAATGTTGATAGTTTGTCCGAGTGAGTGGAGGGGGGGTGTTGCTTAGCCATAGGTCAATTGTTTTATATGATATGATGCGATATGACATGGTCTCCCAGCTTTCATTTAACAGCCTTGCACCATCACCCCACCTTCTTCTTCTGTTGAATTTTATGGCGGTTGGCATGCAAAGTGTTGCATTACGGCCATCTGCTGAACTGTCTTGCCCCTTCTATTCTGACAGCGTAATGGCCAGTGTGAAAAGGCACAAGACTGGAATGTTTCTGATTGTGTGAACAGTGAAAATCACTAGCAATGTCTGAAAGGTTATCCCAGTAATTTACAGGGAACTGTGTGTGAAAGAGGGTTTACAAATACCCACAAAACTGTGAAAACCTTGGAGAAAAAAAAACTTACTTACTTCTACTTCTTGTTTTTTCAGTTCTTTTTGTGACAACTTCTCAGTGAGACTCCTGCTTTTATTTTGTATTCTGTTTCTATTTGTTGCCATTGTATTGATTTTTTAAGTCTCTTGGTAATTTCAACCCACTCTAATTCTCCTGCAGGCTCAGAGGTGATCAAACAATGATCCTTTTTGACTTGTTGACAATATCACACCCTTTCTGTATTGACTGACCGTCCTATTTATGTACCTCTATCTCCTGGTACGAGCTGTTGATCATAGCGATGAGCATGTTGAGAAGGACGACCACCATCGTCACATTATAGACTCCGTACAGCACGTAGCCGATGTTCTCTATGAACTTATGGTCGTACTTCAGCACCACAGAGATCACTTCAGACAGCCCGAAGATGGACCAGAAGAGAGTCTTGAAACTCTCCTCCACTCTGCAGGGAGAGAGAAGATGTGGCAGTAAGGAAACAGTACATGACAGTGAATACACACATAAAAGCCCACTGTGTTAGCAGCTAATTGCTCTCTCACTGAACAACACACATGCACACACACACACACATACAAACACACAAAATGCATTTTAATGTCGTGGGGTTTATGAGGTGGCACTGATGAAATAACTGATGAGTCATGTCCAATCTGAACACATTATCCCATTTATCCGTCTCTCTCACACACACACCTACACATGCAAACACACACATGAAGTGCACACACGTACGTGAAAACATGTTTGACTCCTGCAGAACCGGAAAATATCAGGAAATGACTCAACTTCAGCATTTGAGAGATCGTTTGGTTTATAGAAGTCAGTTCATTAAGCCTGCAGCCGTGTCCTGTGCTGCCCTTTACACAAAATAAATGCTGAAATGTAACTGCAGTTAATGAAGAAACAATAAGGATTTGTTTTTCACTTCGTCATAACTTAAAATGAACGTGCATGAGGGCTTGTTTTGGGGGAGTTGTCAAAGCCGTATGTATTAAGATAAATGAAGAAACATTTAAAACCAGGGGCTCATTAAACTCTTTCAGAAGACACTGGACATTTTTCATGGTGGCCAAGTTTACTTTCCCCAAATTAATTTGAATGTCAGTGTAAATGAAATTTGTGAGACTGGTCATGTAGAGACACCAGAGGGGTTGGGTACTGTTCACATATGAACGCATACCGGTACCAGTACTGGTACCTGGAATTCAGTGCCGGTACCCATTGGTACTTTTTTGAGTACTTTACTCTCTCTGTAATAAGCAATATCATGTCAGTTATAAAAACTACGTCCAAACTTCCTGTTTTGTTTTTTGCTGCTGGGCAAACGTGAAAGGAGAGTCTGTGGAAGTGTGCTGCTCTCTGGCTCTGTGCAAAATGCAGATAGATATATTTATTCAGTGTCTTTCATTGGGCATAAACCTCATTTTTATGTGCATATTGCTGAAAACATAGTGTGACAGGTGGCACGGAGGAAAAAAGAAGGTGCACCAGGTAGTGGCACCATTAATGTAGAGAGGAGGAACGCAGGCTGTGACGTTGGTTCAGGCTGGTGGGATGAGACAGGTGCACATCTCATCCCATGCTGGCGTTTTGGGAAGACTGGAATGCTTTTCACATTTATTGTATCCATGCATTTCAGACCTGCTTCCCTTCTGGGTTGAAGGCGGCTGGTAGCCAGTAAGAAAGTAGATTGACATACCAGGTATTTTAAATTTTAGTCATGTAGCTTTTTAACACTTGATCTGTGTGTATTTTATTATTCTGTAGTGAAGTGCTTTTAAGAGTATCCATTTGTGTCTCTGCAGAGCATCGATGGTCCTTTAGCTGCTCTTGCCATGAAAAGGTTTACGTTGTTTGGTTTGATTTGGTTTGGTCTTTTTCTTTGTTCAGTCCGCCCTGGCACGTGAGCTAGTAAGCGGCAAAAAGATACGGGTATTGCCCTTATGGTAGACTATCCATCCATCCATCCATCCATCCATCCATCCATCCATCCATTTTCGCAGCCGCTTATCCTCTTGAGGGTCGCGCGGGGGCTGGAGCCTATCCCAGATGACATTGGGCGAGAGGCGGGGTACACCCTGGACAGGTCGCCAGACTATCACAGGGCTGACACATGGAGACAGACAACAATTCACACTCACATTCACACCTATGGGCAATTTAGAATCACCAATTAACCTGCATGTCTTTGGACTGTGGGAGGAAGTCGGTGTACCCAGGGAAAAACCCATGCAGACACGGCTAGAACATGCAAACACCACACTAGTTTTCTTTAATTTTTTCATTTGTTTTTGTTTGTTTTTATCTGCCTGCTTCCCCCGCTAATTAGCCAGTCGCTCAGGTTAAGCCCAGTCAGATGGAGGGCGGGCTTAAGGTGTGCTAGGTGTGAAGATAATCACATGTGGATACTTTGGAAATGTCAAATGACATATTGATTGCAGTGTGCACAACTGTGACATTGGAGCTTAAACCCTGCCTTGTAAGTGATAGCTAAGAGGCCAATCTTGAGAAAGGGTGAGGTGGGAGAATATAGATTGTATATCGAACTTCTGTAGTAAGTTCTCCTGTACCTCAATTCCTGTCATTTCTTATACTAGAGACCTGTAATGGGGGTAACAATAGACTTTAAGCGTAAGTAAATGCTTCAGGCCCTAGACATGAGTCTGCACAGAGCCGGTGCAGACAGCTGTGCAGATATAAAACCTATCTGTTGCATGAGACGTGCAAATGAAAAATATGCTTGCGGTCTAGACACAAGGAAGGCTTCTGGCACCACTGCGCTATGTTACCGGCTGTGACCTGTTTTTGTTCTGTTCTCCATTATCAAAGTGGCCAGAATCAGCAGCAGCCACGTCACAGCCAAAATCAGCGCTTATTCTCACCCAGATGCACTCACAGGTACTAAAATTTGGCACTGAATGATTTACTGTGTCTTGATACTTGGTAGTAATTTGACATAATTCGGTCAGTACCCTTAAAAGTACCTAGATCAGTCCCAAACCCTGAACACCAGACAGCAGTTGTGGTTGAAAAACAAAGTTCTCCTTTTCTTCCTGACAATTAGATATGAAAAATCAAACTCTGTTACAGTTAAAAAGTGTATTGGTCTTTTTTGCTGAGGTCCACAGTCACATTTCTGCTGATTCTCTGACACTGACCCGAGGTAACAGCATAAAACTGCAAGACCTGTCAGCATTGACATTCAGGTGCATGTCTGTCGTTAAATATTCCATGAGTGGCAAGCAAGGGTTTGAGGTGACAGAGGGGGGGCTCAGTAGGGAGGGAGAAGCCACCTGGTTGGATTGCTGGAGGGGCTGGAAGTGGAAAGAGGCTGTTGAAGAAGAAGATCTATAGGTTCCTGGTCTGAGGCTGTGGGTGTTTTCCAGCTTAATGTCTTTCAAAGAGACACAGTTACATTGGCAAGCAGAGCGCGAGGTGAAAGCACAGAGAGAGAAGAAAAAACACAACCTCACATACATAAAAAGACAGAGACAGACACACACAGGCACAGACTCTCCCCTCCTCTCTCTCAAACTCACACATGAAACCAGAGACTCCTCTACTTCAGCTTTGACCTTTTAGGCAGAAAGTAAATACACTCTTTAACTTTCAAGACCAGATCTGTGTGTGTTCTCTTTCTCTCTGTCTGTCTCTCTCTAACTGAGCTGCGAAACATCTGAGAACACGCTGTGCCTTTATCCATCACACTTCCTTGAAAAATACATTGCTTTCGAGGAAAACATTACAAGCACATTGAGTTCTTCCACCAGGTAGAGATAGACAGATGAAACTCGGTAATGACTAAACCCTTTACTGTCTTTTCGTAAATCACGTTGAGCATAGAATGATTTTGTTCATTGTTGTTGCTCATTAGAGACACATCTCCTGAATGACTCTTTGTATCAGACTGGCCTTGAGTCACTATTCCTTGTGCATCCCTGAACTTCAGCTGAATGTCGTGATGAATGGTCAGTACATACCATGTATTTATTGCTTTTAACCCCTGATTGCATGGTTTTTCCAATGCGCTTCAAACATGCTTTCACATAGAAAAGACATCCCATTTTCATTGATTTCTACACATTTCAACATCATCTGCTCAGCTGCTAACATAACAGATGTCCTTATGATAATATGCCAAGAATCACCGCTAACCTGCATGTGAAATATTGGTTTTGTGGGGTTGTGAACAGAGAGAAAAAACACGCTTTCTAGCATCAATTTCTTACGATTACACTCCTAGACTTAAGGTCCCTGAAAACATGGGTTCTCAATCAGTGATGGAGTCCTACATGAACACACACTTCTGCCTGACATGTACCCTTTTCCCACCAAAGTTAGTGCTTGTATGCAGGTTTTTTAAACACAGGAAAACCTGGTCAAATGCGTGATAGTCTGCTTTCCCATTGCCAATAGACCAGAGCCAACTGGAGCCGATAAATACCCGTCACTACTGCAGAGTCATTTGTCCTGGGAGTGAATGCTGATTGTGACTTTTCCCATTAAATACAAAAGCCACATGTCAGCAGGTGTTAGTGGGTTTTCTGTCCAGTGGGAAAGGGGCTTTAGAGCTTTGGTTACTTCAAAATTCAGATTTCTCATTGTCTTTTGTTCTCATTGATTTGAAGTGGGCGAGACTTAATTATAAATGATTTTAAATGCTTAAATAGAATTTAGCATCATGTGCAAGTTTGCTTTGTAACAAGTTTTCACTGGTACATACTGCCTCCAGGAAGTAGACATAGAAACATCTTTTTTGTGAATCAGAATGATATTTGAACTGGTTGACACCACCTCATCAAGTTACCTAAAGTTTCTGTATACAAGAATTTGGAAATTAAAAACACAAAATGGAATTTATTCAGAGTGTTTGGTGAGGTCTTCTATCAGCAGGTTTTTATTCTTGGGTTCAAATACAGTCAGAATACAGTTATTTGGTCAGGCAAAAATGGCAAAAGCTATTTTCATTCAAATGCTCAAAGCCAGAAAAAGACTGGACTGCAGTTATTATTGTGCTGTGAGAGATGTGGATAGATTTATGGACGTATGGGGCAACAAACATGTGTGATGTTCTGTTGAAACAGACCAACTCCTGTTTGGTCATGTGTTGGTGTAAGAATGCGCCGTATCCCCTACTTTGCTGGTTCTGTTTTTTTTTTTTTTTTTCATTTTTTTGTGAAAACTAAGATGTGTTTATTGTTGATTGCTGGTGTTTGTGTTGATATCTTTTTCTTGTGATAGCTAATAAAGGTTGTGTTAAAAATTCAAGATTTGGGAATTGATGTAGCAGCAAACCACTATTTTCTATGTATTTCTGTGCGTGTAATAATTGGAGCTTCTCTGTTACCTACATGCACGAGTCCCTCCGTTTGAAACTGTTCGCCCTCACCGTTTCCTCCCCCACCCTCCCTTCCTATTAATTTCCTAACAGCTAGCTAATCG